TGCGAACGCTTCATAATGCAGGGATGCCGGGTTCGATCCCAGCTACGGGCCATGCACCTTGCATTGGTTTCGACAGCGGTATCAAGAAAGCTGACAGTCCAGAAAGCAATGGCACAATGGCAAACTACTTGACATACATTTGCCTAGAAAAACCGCACAACAGCCAGGGACTGTTGGGGTTAGTTCTGCAACGTCCTGTAAAAGATACGCAACTAACCTATATATATATATATATATATATATATATATATATATATATATATATATATATATATATATATATATATATATATATATATATATATATATATATATATATATATATATATATATATATATATATACATATAAATATATATACATACATATATATATATATATAGGTTAGTTGCGTATCTTTTACAGGACGTTGCAGAACCAACCCCAACAGCCCCTGACATATACATATATCACCTTGAAACAAAACGCACAAGATACCAAAAAGACCACGACATGATGCTGAGACTCTAAGTAATACATTAGTTGTTATTGTATCTTATTGTTTGCTATCGCATCTATCATATTAGAGCCAGCAGGATGACACTCACCTTCTACCTGTAGCTAAATCTGTAACTCTGATCTCATGACAATGCCACATGGCTTCTCTCCCTTCTGTTTCTCCCAAAGGTCGATCCTCACGCTCAAAAGCTCCAACAATGCACCGTTGTAGCTTACCCAGTGGCACAGAGTACATGGTGAAAATGTTAGTTGTACCCCTGGGAACAAATGATCAGTTTTTACATTCAGTCTAACTGATTTTTTTTTTTTTTTTTATAATTAAAGACAAAAGTAGTCTGTATAATGTAGACTGATAGCCCTATGTGACACACAATGGCACAGAAGGATGAGGATGATGATGATGTGTAATTTGAGTAAAGCTGTTAACTCTTTCAGTCCCAAAGAACGTAAGAATGCGTCGATTTTAATCTCTCTTTACTACCCCTTGGGCCTCTGATGCTAAGCCCTCTGGGATTCAAAGAGTTAATAAAAAGCCATATGTTTCAATGTTTTAAATCAACAAGTGCGAAGGAAATTGTTTTCTTGAGCATCTTACACATATGAATGCTGCCCCTTCCCTCCCCCTCCCCCCCCCCCAAAAAAAAAAAAAACCAGGCTCCTTCCATTCTAATAGTTCTGAATATCAAGGCAAAATTGACATACCTGTCACTGCCATAAAATCTTGTCCCATAAATCAAATCTTCCGTTTATCATTAGAAGTAGACCTGATTTATAACTTCAGTGTTCTCAGTCCTGTAGGTACAATGTTTAACACACACCTTCCTTTATCTATCTGTCTCTCATCTTATTATGTTTTTTTACATTATACACCCCCCCTCCCTCCCTCCCCCCACGCCACTTTCACTTCTCCCACCCCCACACCCCTTTCACTTCTCTCCCACCCCCCTCCCCTTTCACTTTTCTCATTTCTTTGTTTAATTTCTCAATTTTCTCTTGCTATGCCTACTTTTATTCTCCACAATGGTGATTCATCATTCCTATTGTTTTATTCCCTGAGATTAAAATATTTAGCTGTATTTGAGCATGACATTTTTCTTCCCCTCCTATAGTTTTGAAAAAACTAGAATTTGTGAAACAAAACATTTGCATTTTCCAAGCGTGGCAGATTCAGTTTCTTGTTTTACTTTAATTAAAACAGCGTGATGCAATTTTTTTGGGTGTGATTTTCCTTAAATGGGAGCATCTAACCCTTTCAACATCCACTGTAGAGAGAGAGCTGAAAGAATTACCAAAGTTCAGGCTTTAGATCATATGCAGTGGCTGTTAGATGAAAAAAAAATGTGACTCTAGTGATGACTTATATATTCTGACAATATAAGTTGGGATGAAGTTGAACAAAATGTTTCAGTCACATAATCCCTGTTTCGATCGGCTGTGTCTGCCTGTTCTAAAGAACTGCAATAAAATCAGAAGAAGTTAAATTAAATGTCCTAAATAAAGACTAACTGTTATATAATTGAAAAGAGAAGGTAACTTAATTCTTACATATGCATAGCAGCGTTGCTGATCAAGTGAAAAAGTGAGATAATTACAAAATGTCATGTGTCAAAAATTTTCATATGTGTCTAACATTCTTGAATCTGGTGTCATTTTAGTATTTTGCTATTGAAACACTGATCCTTAAATAGTTTAGAATGAATTCCAGAGAAATTTGACTAAAAAGCTCAACAAAATGGGAAAAAGGAAAACGTGCACAAAACAACACAACGTAACGTTTCGGCCAGGCAGCCTTTTTCAAACACAAGTGGACTACACAAAAGAGGAATGGAGAGTATGTAGATCTCTAAGGGGTGACGTGAGCGACGTTTAAAAAATGTGATGCGGAATAAATGAAATAAAATAAAATAAACGATGGCTAAAAAATATAGTCACAATACTGGGAATAAAAGAAATGCAAGTGTTAATGATACATAAATGATATTGATAAGAAATAGAATATGGTAATAATATGAAATAAAATAAAATAATTAACATTTAAAATGTAATAAGATTAGAACTATTTAGATGAAGGTATGTTGGATATTGATACCTCTTGGACTAAGAACGCCAAGGCTGTGGATAAGGCGATTTTCCAAAGCGAGGGGGTAGTATGATCGCCAGAGCAAGATTTTAATGCTGTGACAGATATGTCATCTTTACCGCTGTGGTCAGGGCTATTAAAATGAAGAGGGATTGGTTTGAGTGTCTTCTTGTCGATATCAGAGAGGTGTTCCCGGAAACGATCAGCTAGCTTCCTGCCAGTCTCCCCAATGTATGCCATGCTGCATCGTTTGCAGATAATTGCATAAATTACGTTGCGGGATTCGCAAGTAAAAGGTTCCCTAATTTGAAAAGAACCATTAGGGAAACTGACCGAAGAAGTCTGGACAACGAAAGGACATGTTTTGCAGGTGCTGCGTGAGCACTGAGTAGTCCCAAGAGGAAGTGCTGTATGGATCGGTGGGAGTCGGCTTCGGACAAGTATGTCTTTAAGGTTGCGATCTCTTCTGTAAACTAATCTAGGTTTCTCACTAAAGATAATCTTGGTGTCCGGATCAGAGCGGAGGATGTCCAAATGACGAAAGAATACTTTGGAAGCAACCACATTGTTAGGGTGAAAAGTCAAGATCAATTTAGGTCCCTCATTGGTGGAGTTACGTTTGGTAGGAAAAGCATCTCTCCTGGTGATTGCTAAAACTTTGTTTAGAGCCCCTTGTAGAATGTAAAACTTTGTTTAGAGCCCCTTGTAGAATGTAAAACTTTGTTTAGAGCCCCTTGTAAAATAGTTTAGACTTGTTCTGTATTTATTTCTATTTCATTTGATATATTATTTGTCCCTATACAGCCAATACTTTTTTCTTCAGTAAGCTTTTAGCTTTTTCTTGTTGCAGTTAAAAAAAAAAAAAATGCAGCTCAAAATCAATGCTGTCAAAACCCCAGACAAAAAATGCCATCTTAAAAGAGTTAAAGACCATACAAGCAAACATAGGACCAATGGAATTTAGCTACACATTTCAAGAACAGGTCACAGCAGACAAAGCCATTTATGAACATTTATGGGACTGTGACACAACCAGAAGTGATCAGATTTTGTCTTCTGTGGGTGATAGGCTTCAATCACAAAACTAAAGAACAGTTTATTTCTTTCTTTTAACCACATAAAAAAAATTACTTTCCTAAGCTTTTGTTAGTGATACTGAGAGCAATTGTTGTGGAATTTCATACTTTAAAACACACTTTTGTTTTGAATTTGTAATATCCGGACTCCAGATGTTGGAAGTTTGACTTCAAATTCCATGCTTGACTTACTTTCTGAGGATCTTGTTGTGGGCGCTGTTAATGAGTGTGAAAATCTTGGAAGTCCTTTTGCTGCCCTCCAGGATGATCCAGCCATTGTGAATAGTGCCACCTTCATTCTTGTCGGTTGTTGTGACTTCGATCTCATACCCTGAAAAAGTTCACAAGAGCAGATACATTATTGCATTTATATCTGAGAAACCACATTCTGAAGATATACATGTACATACATTATCATTTTTTTTCTTCCGATTTAACTTATGAGAAAGCTTCCCATTTGTGTGTGTGTGTGTGTGTGTGTGCATGCATGCGAGTGTGTGGTTCCTCCTTGTAAAGAAAGAGCGTGCACCCTCTTTGTGTTTCTGACTGGAAAATACTTGCGTAAGCTTTATTTTGCTTCGATAATTAAAAAATCTGTCAAATATTCTCTCACTAATATGTCTATTTATGTTCTACTTTGTCTAATATCTCTCTACCCTCTCTGGGTTTTGGATCCCCATTCAGGAAGGGGAAGAAGAGACCCATTGTTTCCTAAAAAGCATGTTGTTTAAAAAAGAGAGAACGAATCTGCTGAAATTATATATTTTGGCTGAAAGACGCAGATATCGCAGACTAGCTGTAAACAACAAGACAAAGAAAAAAATAAAAGATGTTTTTCCTTATCTTTGGCCTACAGGGTAATGGTGTTAGCCCTATAATTGTGGACAGAAACCAGCACTTGATGGTGATGTGGACAATATCAGCCCAACTATCTTTACATCCCAGAGCAAACTCCCCACCTTTTTTTTAAAAAATAGAGCTGACCTGAGAGCCTAAGGTAGTACCACCCCCCCCCCACCCCCACAAAAAAAGTATTAAAAAAAAAGGTTGTAGCACTGCATGTAAAATCCTCTTTCACTGCCTATAGTTGCATTTTTTCAGGGCTGTGTCGGGAGGAAAAAGAGGGTGGAGAAAGGTCTGGAGTCTGAGGATTTAAGATTTCATGGTTAGTGCAATGGACACAAACTGTGCAGGTTAGGATGATTTTCTTTTAAAATAGAAAATACTTTAATTGCACAAGAACAGAAATAAGTGAACATCAGTTGTTGTAGACCTAAGCTCAACTGGGAAGGCATGGCATTTATTATAATGAATGAAACAAACTACATACCAGTCTTGTCCCCAGCTTCTGTCCCGGCTGATCCTGGCCTGCCTTGCTCATGACAAGAGAGTTCCCTGACAATCTGCTTGTCATCGTCTGACTTGGACAACCATTTGTCACAGTGGAAGCTGTAGACTTTGTGAGTCTTCAGATCTTCCACTTCAATGAATGCTAGGTGCCAAGCAGCACCTAGTCCTATGAAACAAAAGTGGAACAAATGTATGTAATGAAGATAAATAAATAAATAAACAGCTGCAACAATGACTGCTGTTGGCATTCACATATTCTAGGCCATGACATAGAAGGCTGAGTGAATAGTTTTCCTTTTCACTACCTCTCCGTTTTATGCAGTTCTCAGACAATTATATTTCAGCAAATATCATAGGCACACGAGTAACATATTAGACCTGCAGTAAACAAAATACCCATATTATCATCTTTAGAAGTGATTACCTGAGACTAAACGGTTCCTTCCGGATATAAGGGTGGAGTGTGTTGACAATGACATCCTAAAATCCTCAGAAAAAAAAGAAAACAAAAACCAACCTAGATCAAATCCCAGCTAGATCTCAACCTAGCCATCATTCCAGTCAGATCCAAACCTAACCATCATCTCAGCCAGATCCCAACCTAGGCTGCACACCAGCCAGCCACATCCCAATCTAGGCTTCACAAAAGCCAGCCAGGTCTTAAACTAGGCTTCACACCAGTCAGCCACATCCCAATCTAGGCTTCACACAAGCCAGCTTCATCCCAATCTAGGCATCACACCAGCCAGCCACATCCCAAACTAGGCTTCACACCAGCCAGCCAGGTCCCAATCTAGGCTGCACACCAGCCAGCCACATCCAAATCTAGGCATCACACCAGCCAGCCACATCCCAAACTAGGCTTCACACCAGCCAGCCAGGTCCCAATCTAGGCTGCACACCAGCCAGCCACATCCAAATCTAGGCTTCATCCCAGCCAGATCCCAACTTGGTCCTCATCCCAGCCAGATCCCAGCCCAATCCTCATTCCAGCCGAACCCCAACCTAGGCTTTCTCCCATCTAGCCAGGTCCCAACCCAGGCTTTATCCCCACCATATCCCAACCTAATCCTCATCCCAGCCAGATCCAACCTAGTCCTAACCCCAGCCAGATCCTAGATTAGGCCTCATCTATGCCAGACTGTGTTATTTGGAATGATGACCTGAGTGTATACTAACATCAGTGTGATGTTGACTACATTATCCTGGAGTGTCAACTGGTCTGAAAAGAAAATATGAGTCTTTCAAAATAATGCCCGACGTACCACTAGTGTGAAAAGGGTCCTTTATTGTCTTTTATATCCTATTATAAATTCCAATACGAGCCTTGCACATACCCCCCACCCATCCATGATTTATAACTAAGCAGCCAGTGATGATTTATATCTAAGCAGCCACTGATGATTTATAACTAAGCAGCCAGCGATGATTTATAACTAAGCAGCAAGTGATGATTTATAACTAAACAGCCAGCAATGATTTATAACTAAACAGCCAGTGATGATTTAAATCTAAGCAGCCACTGATGATTTATAACTAAGCAGCCAGCGATGATTTATAACTAAGCAGCAAGTGATGATTTATAACTTAGTAGCCAACGAGTGGGAGTCGCCATGGCAGAGCGGCTAGATGCGCGCCACGGATCGGAAGATGGTGGGTTCGCTCCCTGGCGGAGCTGGACTTTTCTTAAAAAATGACCTTGGCTCCCAGGTCGACCCAGCCTTGAGTGGGTACCGGGTGCAGTCCCGGGAACTAGAGGCGGCCGGCGTGATGCTGACCACATCACCCATCTTGTGCCGTTGGTCTATAAAAAATATAGGTCTAGCCCTATATGCCCTATTGGCCTAAAGGCGTGGAAAGGGTCCTTTACTAACTTTACTTAGCCAACGAGTAAACATCACATTCAACCTTACCAGTGTTGTCATGCCACACTCTTAGTTTGCTGAGCTGGCCAAGAGATAACATGTTATCTAATGTGAACACATCTGTTTGGTTTTGCTCAAATGGATCCTGAAATGTTTCAGACTTCTTCAAGTGAAGTTCCCCCGAGTCACCATTAGCACCAAACAGAAGAATATAGACATTGGAGTCTGTTCCAGCTCCTCTCACATCTGATGTCTTCACTGTGATTTTATAACTGGTCTCTGCAAGATATGTGCAAAGCACTTAGTGCAAGGTGGAACTTGAAAGAACAACAAACTGATAAGTCACGGGTGTGGTGCATATTTGATATTATGTGTCATGAATGCAGTGGGGGGAAGGACCTGGGGTTGTAGCTGGCACTCAACACTCAGAGGACGGACAAGTCAGACACATGGTCAGACTGTTGCTGGTCCATCAGAACTAGAACTCTTTGCTAGCTGCTGAAGATGGGGACAGTGGGCTTGTGGTAATGTCCCTAGTGCCATGATGTTGGTTTTTAACTTAACTCAATTCAACTGTGTAAATGGAAAGAGGAAAACTCTCATACCCCTCAACCACACACACACACACACACAAAACCCCCACTGCTGGGTTAATTCAGATAAAATATAATTGTTATTTATGGCAGCTTTCTGAAAATCGCTAATGTGATGATGATGGAGGCTAATCACCTCATCTTATTATTTGAAAAGCCTTTTTATCTCCCTCCCCACCAAACAAGTCATCAAATGTTCAATATTTAGTCCCTATTCATGTCACACTGTTCCAGCTACATTCACCCAAGCAGTTGTATTAATATAAAATGTCCTCCATCCGGTTAAGGAAGTCATCAAATGTTCAATATTTAGTCCCTATTCATGTCACACTGTTCCAGCTACATTCATCCCATGCAGCTGTAATAATACAAAATGTCCCCCATCCTTTTAATTAACAAGGGAAGTCATCAATAATGTTAATAATATTTAGCCCCTATCACATCATGTCACAGGCACTGGCAGTTCCAGTAATAGCTGTTTAGAATCATCCCATGCAGCTGTAATCCCCCATCATACTTTTAGTAATAACAAGGGCAGACAGCAATAATAATAATAATAATAAAAAAGACCCCCTTGCTTACATCACGTAAGTGGTAAATACAGGCAGTAACTGGCAGTTTTTAGACCGTAATAGTGTTTGACTTAATAGGGGTCAGTTGAGCTTGAGCCAAACTCTTAAAGGATGTGACTACTTTGGTGGATTCACATAGTTTTTCCTGCTAATTATCTTACTTTACGTGGATCTTACGAAAAAAGTATTCATTCGAAGGTGGAGTGCATCTGCCTGAGAGGCAAGGAACCAATAGTCTGCATACAAATGAGTCAGACCTGTGAAAAAGATAGGCACCCGTGTTGCGTGCTAATGCGGGTGGATTCAGAAGGGTTGTAACATTGTTGGAGAGAATGTCCTATGAACTGTGTTTTCTGTAGTCCACAGGAATGTCTGTTGACCTGAGTCAATATTTGGTGCAGTGTTGACTTGAGCCAGGAGATGTCCGTTCGGCTTGAGCCAATATTATTGCAAGAGGGTGTTGACTCAGGGCTGGATGTACAGTAGATTCACAAAGTTATCAGCCCAGTGCGTGCTAATTATCTTACTTAGTGTGTGGATAGCAACTATTGCACGAAAAAGTATGGGGTTCTCAGTGAAGGGAATTCAAGCATAACAGTGGGCGTTTCATTTGCGCAAAGACTCACAAGAGACAGGCATGTGTGTCTAGTGGGGTTGAGTTCAGTTGAGACAGAGAGAGAAGGTTTGCTAGAACATGTCAAGAGAACAGTCGAGTTGAGAACGTTCAAGGTGGAAGCACTCATGAAAGACTAGTCTAGAGGACAGTCGAATGTGCAGTCAAAGGAAGATAAGTCCAGTTGGCAGAGTTAGGTCTAGAGAGTTGGACTACTTCAAGAACAAGCTGTCTTGAGTAGAACAGTTTGAGTGTGAATCATTTCCAAGACACTTGGTGCTGTGCTGTCTGCCCATTAAGCAACTTTAGCACACAACATCCCAACACAACATCCCAACACACAATCCCAACACTCAAGTTCTGGAACAGGCCTAGAGTCCAGATGTGGATGAACAACCAGAACTTTCCCCTAGATTTTACAACAGGTTAACATAAAGAAAAAAAAAATTAACTGTTACAAAAAAATTGTCCCATGGTTTTAAAAACAATATTAATGTTAACAATGAGATGTTTACAATTATAATCAGTTGAAAACAAATACTTGAAAAATGGGTTCAGTAATACAAAATGTGTTAAGGAAGAAGAAAAAAACACACACAGAAAACATACATAGTGAAAAGAGCTAACAGACCTAAAGAAGATGGTGCCAAGAAAATCAAGTATTTCTGCAGTGACAATTCCTATAGCCTTTTGTTCAGATGATATTGCCAGTCCTCCAGTACACAGCTAATCTAACTGTGATGTTGGAAACAGGTAACATGAAGGTGGGCTGAAATAACACCTTAAAATATACACAGATAGCCAATGTCATTGTCACGCTGGAAACATTAGGAAGGGGGACATAAATAAAACGTGAAATTCAGACACACACACAGCTAATGCAACTGCCATGCTGGAAACAGAAGGTGGACCAAAATAAAACCATGAAATTCTAGACACACACATCTATGTTTTTATCAGCAAAAATACACACACACAAAAAATACACTGCTACATGCCTGTACACATTTAAAAATACCTACCCATCATATTCCAAAAAAAAAAAAAAAAAGCTAAAGTGTACTGCAATGTTTCCAAACTAAAGAAAACGAAAATAAAAGCAAAAAAAAGCATAAAAGGATAATGTTGAATTCTGTGTGTGTGTGTGTGTGTGTGTGTGTGTGTGTGTGTGAGAGAGAGAGAGAGACAGAAAGAAAGACAGTGACAGAGAGATAAGAGACAGAGAGATAAGCAAGAGAGAGAGAGAGAGAAAGAGAGAGAAATTTGTATGATGTAAAGAGACACAAGAGTGTGCAACAGAGAGATAAGAGACAGAGAGAGAGAGAGAGAGAGAGAGAGAGAGAGAGAGAGAGAGAGAGAGAGAGAGAGAGAGAGAGAGAGAGAGAGAGAGAGAGAGAGAGAGAGAGAGAGAGAGGTACATGGACCAAGTCAGCAAACAGATCAACTTACTGTCTAGGACAGTTCTGCCTCTTTCTACTGCTGGAATGTCTACAGGATTCTTGGCTCCCTCTTTGCCTTTACCAACCCATCCATTGTATTTGAATACAGACAAAGTGCTGGTGTCCAGATTTCTCAGTTCAATCTGCCAAAGACAACAAGAAAACCACAAAACCACAGTTGAACTTCTCTGACATTAAGTCAGCGTCACTTGCACTTGTAGCCAAACACTTGGTGTTGCAGTGGCATGGATCTACAATGACTGCCTCTAATTTGTGTGGGCCAGGTTCAGTTCAATCTGGCCTGTTTTCATGTGTCTACACAAAGGCTTCCAATGAAAATCCAAAAGAGTGATAGAAATTACAATAACTATGCTATTGTCTTGTCATCATTGTTGAAAATGTCAAGAGTGTTAAGCATGTGACAACACAGTGCAGACAAACATAGTGACATCATAAAGACAATAGAAAGATGGCCACCCCAGTTTTGAAACACACCAAAGAGGATCAGCATTCTGTTATCTGTTTTCTGATCAGCTGAGTTGAGTTAGGTTAAGAATTGACATCACAGCACTCAGAGCATTCCTATGCTTGCTCCGTCCTTATCTTAAGCAGCCAGCGCAGAGTTCCAATACTGATGGTACCAGTCACAATCTGGTTATATGTCCGTCTTGCCTTTTCCAGGTGCCTCATTCTCTCCAGGCCATAATAATTCTTGTTTTTCTACTGATTCTGGTGCTTGTTTCCAAAGAGCCTTGACCACATCTACCTTGTTATGTATCAATTCACAACCCAGTGGTGCAGATCCAGCCAAAATGTCTGCCTGTTCATTACCCACCGCGCCGGCCTAGCCTGAAGAAAAGATCTAAAGTATGCTCACTACCCATGACCTTCCCAGTGAAGATTGCCACTCTGCTCGAAGCATCCCTACCTCATCCCCTTTCTCAGCATGATTTCAGAGTCTGTTACAATTACGACATGTGTATGCATCTTGTTCTCTAGCCACCGAAGAGTTGCAGTTACAGCCTCCACCTCCATTCTCATGATAGATATTGTTGTGTCGTATGCTAGACTGTCTTGCACTAAAGATTTTCCATTGCCTTTCGCTACGAAACCCCCAGGCACTTCTCTTTTCTCTCAACACCGAACCATCTGTATAGATAATTAGATCACATGGGTCAGCACTTGCCTCCTATGAATGTGGATTTTTCATTCAGTGGGGAATAGGCTATCAAAATAATCAACACACAACGCTGCACATGTGAACTGATTTTTCCAAACAATCTCAATTTTTCAAGGGTACATAAATTATTAGTCAAAGATTACAGAAATGTGCAGCTTTAAGAAGAAAAAAAAAAAGCAGCATCTACACAACTGTAAATTATAGAATGATAAGGGCAAGCAAAATCTAAGGCCACATGCACACATTCCTGTTGATTCAGATAGGAGTTTTCCAGATATTTGTTAAAGTGTGATGTCACGATTTTTTAAACATTCTGTGTACATTGATGATTTGTTAGGATCCATTACCTTCTCTAGATTCCAAGATGGTCGGCTGCCCTTGTCACCCAGGTGAATTCTAATTTTCTTTAGAGGAGCAATGTCATCAATCTCTACCTAAATTTTCAAACAAGAAAATATTGCAAGTGTATAAACGTATTATGTATATTAAAAAAACATATATATAAATCACCCCAAAGATCTTAAGACGTGTCAAGTAAGCCCTCATGATCTTAAAAGTTATCTAGAAAGTGACGGTAGAGAAGACAAACCACCACATACAGGTCAGTGTGCCACAGCACCACTTTGAAACCTTGTGATGAGGTCGATCAAGGATCAGACATATTGATAAAAATTGATATACTGGCCTTGAGAACACCAACTGAGAGGCTTTTCCGCATGGACAAAGGATGTATATGTGATCATGTGACAACGTGACACATAGATGATGACAACAGATGTTGAGCACTGAACCTAAAGACTTGACATTTAATATCATTTGTGGCAACAACAGGCATGACTAAAGGTAGTGGTAGCATAGAGCCATTTACCTGCCAGTGGCACACTGAGCATATGGTGCTAAACCCATACTGCGATAGACCAACTGGCACTCAATGGTGATTGGAACCACATAAACACATTCATAACTGGTGCAATACATGAACAAACAACAACTTTAACACCTGAAATTTGCTGAGGGAGACCAAACACAGTAACAAATTAAATTCCTTTTTTGTTCATAATATTCTCAACACATTTGTCAAAAACCTCATTTCCACTTGCTCCAATTTCTTCATTTCCTTATACTGTGCTCAACAGTAAACCATCATCATCATGTGCCCTGCAGTGTAAACTGTCATGTTTTGCCATCAGAAACAATCAGCAGAATCAAGACAGATCAAGTCAGTGTTCTTGTCTCACAACATCCATAGGGCCAAGCCATCCAGGTATCTGTCTCTTTGCCCTATCCACCTCCTTGCTTTATCTTTCTCCTTGCAATGTTTCTATCAGTCATGCCAGCTGTAATCAATTTCTCGAGCCCATTCCTTCTCGGAACAGGTCCACAAACACTGACTATCTATATCTATCTTCCCCAACCAGTTTAACTGTAAAATTTTACACAAATTTCAGATAAAAAAGACTATTCTTCAGATACAAGAAAGCCAATTACCTTAATAAGATCAGTCCTCCCTCTCTCAAAGAAAGTATCCTCCTTCTTAGCCAGTTCTATTGGCAAGGAGGTGCCCTTAGCCCCAAACACTGTCATCAGTATCTTGCAGTCAGTGCCAGCACCTTCAACATCTGCAGTTGTGACAGTCACCTCATGAGGAATCACTGCAACAGTACCACAGCCAAGTTATGTCTGCTCAATGACTGCTTCCTTATACATAGATATACATGTAAGAGTGAAATTCCTAACTACATCTGTTCTAATTGTTGTATGTGAAAGTCACTTTGGTGGTTAAGGAGTTAATGATGCCCGGGGTTGATGAAGCATATGGTACACAGTGGCATTTATGTTGTGTCGATGGGTTGTGAATGTTAACATTTGGGGCCACAGGAAGAGGGTGGAACATGTGTGGCTGCAAATTCATGGGTGAGCTAAGAACCCAAAGATGTAGTAGCTTTCAGTCTGTGAGATAGGACAGTCGTGTTGTGTGACAGTTTTACTTATGTTCTTTTATTCTGTTAGAGCTCGTGAACTGACCAGTGAATTAGGTGTATTGTGGGTTGAACTTGGAATACTGTCAGTGTGATTTTCCAGAGTGAACTGTTGAGTGTTGGCCCATGCGTACTGGGCTCAGCAACATTGCGGCTATGTGGCAGGCTAGTTGATGGGATGTCTTTAAAGTTCTACAGAGGGTGCTGTGGTAATGTTGTGTGTACTGACCAGTGTGGAGTTGTGATGGTGAGGTATCAGAAATATTTTAACGAGTGACTGGGTAACAGACAGAGGTCTGCATTCTTTCCACCAAATGGTGCATCTATTGTTTAGCCCTCAGGCGGTGGGGTCCTTATGAAAGAGAACCTCTGTGCGATCAGGCTAGAGTTGTCCGCAGCAACCACCTGGACATAGTTTGCCGGGGTAGTTCCCCCTAGTCCTGTTAACTAGGTTTGTCAGGGACTGTCCAATACAACAGTGCTGGTCTAACAGATTCCAGAGAATTTTAATGGGTGACGATGTCTGATTAGCAGGGTCTTGGGCCAAAGAATTAAAGCTTTTACTCTGCGTTTAATCTAACATTAAACAGCTACAGTCAGTCACAATCTATGTCACGTGTTTACTACAGAATTACAAATAATTATTTAAGTTTCTGCTAATGTTTACATTCACAGAATCCTCTCTTTGTGACATGACTAGTCCTCATCCCCTGATCTCCTATACTTCACGTGTTATTTCACTGTCTCCAGAAAGCAATGGCAAACTACTGGACATAAATTTGCCTAGAAAAAAACCACACAACAGCCAGGGGTTGTTGGGGTTGGTTCTGCAACGTCCTGTAAAGGATACGCAGCTAACCTTATTTCACTGTCACTGGTGACCTGATGGTTTACTGTGAGATTCTTACTTTCACTCACTCTGTCACTTATTTTACATCAAAATAATCATACACAATAACTAACACAGATTATAAACGTGGTTTAATCTGTTTAAAAGGTTACAACAAAAGTGACGACTGATGGTCAGCAGCAAACAGAGATAGCTTCCCTACTTACTTGGCTTGTAGGATGTGATAGTACTCAGCCCATCATCAACATTGAAAACTCGGATGGTTTTGCCATCTCCTTTGTTCTGAGCTAACCACTGTCTGCACTCAAAATGGTAGTGTTTGCCTTTAGTGGGTAAGTCAACTTCAACGTCTTTGAGGAACCAGCCACTTCTCTTGCCAACACCATCATGTCCTATCTGTCAGTGTCATCATACATAAAAAGAGACACATTACTGAAAGCAGTGACTTTATTATTATAACAGCATTTACTGTAAAACAACTACTTTGGGTTATATTTGGGGTAGCCGATTAGGGGTATCAACTGTTAACGGATAGGTAAGGCTCCTCCCTCTCACTGAAAGCCTATGGGACAGCCTTAGGCATACAAGAGTACCCATTCAGGCCCCAGACAGGGTTGAGAGGAATGAAACCAAGGGCGTATGTAGTGGATTGAGCATAAAAGCCAACAGCTGAATTGTTATGGTCTTGACTTCCCCAAGGTAGTGACACTAAAGTGGCAATGACTACAGCTACCAATGAGCTGGGTCTCTGCCAAGAAAGAAAGCAGTGACAAACTACCTTCTGTATCATCATCATCATCATCAATCAATCTTCTGTATTGGTTCCTACAAAATATAAACTGACAAATAAGTCAAAAATGGATACGTAACTATCATGCCAGTTGTCTTTTTTATTCAGAGCTAATGATAGATGGGGTCTCAAAACCTGAAAAAATATTTCACTCACTCACATGAATCTACAAGTCTTAATGAGCTAACAAATGAGAATATTCTGACTATATTTTCTCATGCCTTGAGTGGGTACCGGGTGCAGTCCCGGGAAAGTAAAGGCGGTCGGCGTGATGCTGACCACATCACCCATCTTGTGCCGATTGGTCTATAAAAATATAGGTCTAGCCCTATATGCCCTATACGCCTAAAGGCGTGGAAAAGGGTCCTTTACTTACTTACTTACTTACTTACTATATTTTCTCATACTCGACTACATGTTGTAAAAGCAGAGCCATTTTTCATTAATATCTTCTACTAGTAAATTTTCCGAAGAAATAAAAAAATAGAAGGGAAAAAAGACAACAATATAGGATAGAAAAAAACACACAACAATAACAACACACAGGATAGACAAAAAAAACACAACAACATTGGTCTGCATACCTCAATGCTTCTTATTTCGCCCACATCAACACCTTCAATTGAGAACGTTTCAACAGAACTAGGTTCAAATCTCTCTTGCTGGACCAGCTCTAGAAACTTACGACCTGTCTGTTTCTTCCCTGGACCATGTATCCTAATCCAAACATTGCTGTCTGTGCCGTTATCCTCTCCATCACCCGTACTGACTTTGACAGTGTAGGGAATAGCTGGTAAAGACAAGTAAGACTTCAGAGAATGTTGATGTTCTAAAACAATATAACACAGTTAGCTTCCAATGTGTAAAAACTTCAAGAAAATGGACAGATTTGCAATAATTCTCCCCCCCCCCCCCCCCCTCTAGGACTGCAGGCTGCAAGATTAACACCCAGTAACTCAAAGAGGGTGAGAGTCTAACCGGAGAGAATCCAAACTTAGCAGAACATAGCTGTAGTGAGGCAGCCTCTGGTTTCAAAGTATCATGCAGAAGAATACAGGTGGCTAATACTAAATGCACATAAAATACCAAACACATTTTTGTACCAACATCCTCTTCCACCAGTTATTATCATGCCACCTCAGTGACTCTTAACAACTTCTGAAATGACCTGCCCAGGGTGCCCTCCTGTAGAGGTAAAAAGAGACATTGGTGAGCGGAAACCCTGATCCTAGCACAGTAGCCCCCAACTAGGTTTTGCTAAAAAATGTCTGAAAAATTAGGTTGTGAGGGCTGTAAATGGGCACAACACAATTATAGGTTCAGATAAATGCAGAAGAAGAGAAAGAAGAAGTAAAAGTTAATATGTCATCAGGACAAGAACACAGAATCATACAGATGAAAAATAAAACATAAGACCAATGGCAACTTATTAAAGCAATTAATATAACAGTATTTATCTAAAATCTCATCAACAAAAATTAAATTAGTTTATTTAACCACAAACGAAGGAAGACAATGATGTAAAACTATTATTTCCTACAGTTTTAAGCATTATTGTCTGGTGCTAGCAGCATTTTTATAGTTCAGTCAGCTCTCAGCAAGTTATGTGGTCACTCTTACACTAGCTGCTGCTACTTTTCAGAACTTTTCCTGCCATTCGTATAAGACTGTGTTGATCTAGAAGCCCAGATCAATGAAACTTTTCCAGTCACAAGCAGTTTTTAACATTACCTCTTTCTAGCTAAAAAGACTGTTTACTTGGACTACAGGGCCCCACTGTGGAGGGGGGGGGGGGGGGGAGGGGGAGAATAGACACACTGCCTTCCCTAACAAACATGTTGTAAAAGTAAACTAATTAGAGGTGCTTCCTCCAAAGACAGACAGCATCTTCCTGAGTGTCTGCAGGCACATAAACCAGATCTGTAAAATGGATGTGCATGCAACTCTAAAGTTCTGGATGAAAACCAGTCTGAAAGCAGACCAACAACCAGAACTTTACATCAGAGTTCATAGCTGCTGAATGTGAAGAAGAAAAAATTTACCTTTAGTAACGGTCCTTGAGCCTTGGTGAGTTCTAATAAAAGCTAAACGTAGGAGTTGAAGTAATAACTGCAAAAGAATGAATTCATGTAACAGAAGAGTGGGAGAGGCACTTTTAAAAAAACCAAATGCAATGTACAGAGCAATCAAAAATAGATGGTGAGCTGCTTGTAATGAAAGTTACAAAAATCCCTGCTTTGAGGAGAGATTTAATAAATGACCACTAGGCAAACAAGGTAGCTACTGTGTTACCATGGCTTTCATTCTAATTTACAATCATGAGGAACCTCATGAAGCTTGTAGAAGAACCACAGAACAGATACTGGAGTTAAGCTGCTAAACAATGCATACTTGGGCCTTCTGGAATATTCTCCTTGGAAGCAGCCTGCTGCCTACCAGACGGTCTTGGACTGGTTCCCATAGAATTCAGACTTGCCACAGAGCCTTCAAATCGTTGAGATCTAAGTGTACCTGTACTGGATGACATATCTCCATCATAACCCTATGGATGATTAAAAAAAACACACAATTGTGACAATAACAAAACTAAATTCACTAAATACAAGCTAAATATAACTCTTATTCTTTGTTTACACAATCACTTTGTAAAATTAAATTAGTAAAGATTAAGGTTGTAAAGATTTATTGCTTAATTTATTCACAGCAGCTAAATGTTAATTTATATCATTTTTTTTGGTTTTCCCAAAAAAAGCAGCATAATTCATTTTAGCTTCAAACCTAAATATCAGCAACAAAGAAAACAATAAAAGTTGTATTAACAGACATGAAATGTGTATATATAACCAACTAATTAACAAGGAGAGACAAGCTTAGAAATTGAAGTAATGTTTCACAACTGTAAATTTGAACAAAGAAAACAAACAACCTAGCATATTTAACTGTATCTGGTCAGCTGCAAACCATCGTAACAACTGAGTTTAAGGTGAAGGTTTGCTCTGGTAAAACAGCTTATTAGTAATGTGTCAGGTAATAAATTGTGCAATCCACTGTTTGTGTCTTCTTTTGTCAAAGCTATTAGAATAATTATAAAATAATATAAAATAAGTAGGTATACTACACTTAAAAAACTATTTCAAAAAAAAAAAAAAAAAAATGAAAAAAAAAAATTGTTCAGCCATGTGTCAACCACCCAAGACTGTGCTGTGTATGAAAGCAATACCATTTGGTACATAATAAATACATAAGAAGAGGAAGAAGAGAAAAGGATCTTTTTCTTAGAGTCCATGCCATGTGGCGCTGGTAGTCATGTCTATCCACAACCTTCTGTCTCGTGTACTTTCAATCAGCTCTGACCCAGATGATCGTCCATGCTATGATGTCAGACTCTCCAGCATCTGTTCTCTTGGTCTCCCTCTGCCTCTCCTTCCCTCCAACTCCTTCTCATCACATGACTACAGAATGTAGATTGTCTCTTTCTGATGTGGGCAATCAGTTCTCTTTGTGAGCCAGTTTCTTTCAAGATGCCTTTATTATCTCATCATTCATCTATAAAACATATAGAAAAGGATAGAAAGAGACGAAGAAGAAGAAGATAATGATTATGATAATTATAAAGAAAAAGCAGCATCAAAGGAAGAAAAAGAAGCAGAATAATAGAAAGAATAACAAATAAAAAGACTGCACTGTGATCTGGCATTATCAGGTGAGGTACTCATTTGTTTTCCTAATGTACTGTCATCCTTGAAATTTAATGTGTTTATGTGATCATACATGCAGGCACTCATGTGTGTGCGCACACACGCACACACTCAGACAAACATGACAGAACATATAATGAAATGAGTGAAAGAGCACTGATTACCTTCACATACAAAGTTCTCTCTATCTTCCCATCTTCTTTATTCTTAGCCAGCCATCGTTCACAATGGAAGACATATTTGTCCCTCCCATCAGACACTTCCACTCTATCCAGGAACCATGCTGGATTGATCAGTGAGTTGTCATGTCGTATCTTCATCTTGTATAACTTACCCAGGTCTATGGCCTCTAGAACAAACCTATCCATCTAATTAATGGAGACAAAGAAATCTGAGATTAACATGCTTATTACTGACAACATCAAAGTCACTGCAATGAATATGTAAGTGCTAATATGCTAGACACCCTTAGGAGCCACAGTGGTGCAGTGGTTAGACACTAGTCTCCTAGTTAGAATATCTAGGATTTAAATCCACATCATGGGAGTTTCTTATAATTGAGCTGGGCTTTAGCCTGACCCAGTCTAAAAAGAGTCCCAAGAAATAAAGGCTGCTGGCAAGCTAAACACTCATTTGTTTGGACAAATATGGCTTTAGCACCAGATGTCCAATGTGCCAATGGCATGAGTAAGGTCAAAAACAGACATCAAAGAGCTCTGGACATTGCCATAGGCATTCTGTCCTCATCTTAAACAGCTAATGAAGAGTTCCAAATCAGACACATCAGTAGCAGTCTGGCTAGATGTCCGTCCTGCTTTTCCTCTAAGTCTAGAATGGTCACTAATAAGCAGGTTCTTCCACATTGCTCGACTTGATCCCAAAAGGCCTTGACCATATTTAGGTTATCCCGCATACAATCACAACCAGTAGAGAAGCACTAGCCACTTCATCTGCCCGTTAATTTCCCAACACATCTGCATGCCCGAAGAAAATATCCAAAGGACGCTAACTGGCAGGAATCTATGAAGTTATGCTTGCCACTTTAAATGAAGCATGCCATTCTCCACTTTTCTCAGCATTCTTTGTTAGTCTGTTTACTACATTTTAAAAACCACTTAAGAAGACATTTAAATTTTAATATTTTCTCAATTTGAACAATTAACAGATTGCACAATTTATTGCCAGGCATCTCATCAGGTGCTTACTCCAGTAACAAATAAATATAATGAAGTAAGTAACTAAAATTTGAAAAAAAAAGATTAAAAAGAAAAAAATTAACTGCACTTAAAAGTAACTGCCTGTTTTACAAATAGTGTGGTGATCATGATATGTAGTCCCTTTAGATCTATTTTTTTTTAAATCTAGGGGTAGCTAGGTTTGATAAAGACAATCTGTTCAGATTCACCAATAGAACTTAATTTCCATTCAATTCAAACTTTTTAGCATGCCCAGCGTAGACTGACACTCTCTTCTTCTGCCTTTCTATCCCCCAATGGAGCATAGGCCCTCAACCAACTCACGCCAAGTCGTTCTATCCTTCGCCATTGCATGGAGGTCTCCCCATGTCCTCCCAATCTTTCTAACCTCGTTCTCTAGCTCTCTTCTCCATGTGTTTTTTGGCCTTCCTTTATTCTAACATTCCAGGTGCCAATTCTGGAGGTTTTCCTAGCTGAGAGGAGGTACGTCAACGATCCGGACTCCTTACGGCTTTCTCCAAACCATGTTATACTTCTTCTATTTGAAGAGCCTTCCCTCATCTTCGTTGGCTAGATTTTATTTGCTTCTCTTTTTGACTTATCCATGGTTGGTTGGTTTTTGTGGCTATGGTTTTTACAGGATGAGGTAGCCAACCTCAAGCCCAACCCTACCCTTAGTCGCCTCTTACGACATGCCTGGTAGGGTGCAGTGTCACTATTTTTTGCTTCCCGTGAGGGCCCCGGTGACACACAGGCGAGACTGACACTACTCATTCTTAAATCTATTACAAAATCAGCCTACTTTATATTTCACACTTATTTCTTGTTATCATAGGTCTATATACAGAGATATCACAGAGATGCTCACACTTGTTACATATCAGTCACACCAAACAACCAACTTTACTTCTCTTAAACTTGTTTTCCGGTTATCACACAACAGAGATCTAGACACAATCATGAAACTCACCATTTAGCAATGAAACACATGCTCACTTTAACAAAAAAATCATACATGTTTCTTGTTATCTCTATATGTATTCCATTCTTCGAAAAGCTGCTCACAAAAGAAACCATACTACAGTATAGACCACCTTCTCTCATGAATGTTTGAGATTATCACTGTATATTTGATTCTACCAGGTGGCCAAATGATCCAGACAGAAATTAGAGAACAATAGCAGGAAACAACCAACCTTTTTTTTTCTTCTCTCAAACTTGACTATGGTTGTTACCTCTAACAAAAACAAAAAATAGCCACACAATCAAGAAACCCAGTCAACAATCAACAATGACACAACAACCCACTTGTTACTCTTAAACTCATTTCTGGTTATATCTGTGTCTATGTTATTCTATATAAGGTACCTACAAAATCAAGAAACCAATCATCAGTGACACAATAACCCACCTTGTTTCTCTCAAACTTGTTTCTGTTTGTCTCAGAATCTCTCAACTGCCTCTCCCCGCTGTCCCCTTTGTCCCCAAAGAGAGTCATGAACACATTGGCATCTGTTCCACAGTTCTTCTCATTACCAGTGTAGACCTCTACTGTGTATTTCTTGGCTTGATTAGAAAGCATACAAATTCAACAATTAATCCAACATTATATATGAAACAGGAGAATGATATATAACAAATAATGTCAAAATATTACTGTTTTGATTATTACTGTATAAGTTTGAGAAAAATAAATGTGGGTTGTTCATTTCATTGTTGTAAGCCAAGTGTCATGAATGGAATAAGCAGTGGAATGTCTGATAATATAGAGAATTCATCAAAGTTGTTAGTTTTCCACTGTAGCTTCCGCCTGTTTAAGTGACTCAATGAGTATGCCAAGAAACATAGAGACAGGAGGGGTCCAAAACCAGTAGTTGGAGTATCTGAGATGGTTACAGCTAACAAAGCATGCCAGGGCATGCAAGTGTAAAAAAAAAAGAAGAAGAAATGAAAGCATCTGAAAAGGCTTGCAGAATAAGGCTAATGTGGGAGAAGGGCAGACGAACTCAAGGAGAAATAAGATATTTGGGAGAACAAAGTGATGACTGTGAATCTGAAACCATGCTCAGACTACAAGAACAGCAAGATAGAAGGGTCGAGGTCAGACAAGAGCACTCTACAGGAAGCTGTAGAAGAATCATAAACCAACACAGAACTGGTGCCGTCAGCCGCTACATAGACTACACACTGAGTAATGGGGAGGAGGGTGGTGGGGATGGGGGGTGCAAATATCTTAGCAGTGAGGCTGACCTGTTGATTAACTAACTGTCATATACTGTACCAAAGTAGTTTCCATATTACTTATCTTTACAATTGCAATGATATTGTAAAAGTATAATATATGTGTGTGTGTGTGTGTGTGTTTGTGTGTGGAGCAGTTTAACAGCACAGCATCACTTGCTATTTGATTGTTTAACAAATGAGAAGAGCTAGATCTACACTTGAAGTTATGATGACAATCTTTCATATGAATTTTTCTTGCTTATTGTATCCCATTAGGACATCACACAAGCGATAAACACCTGGTGACACAAAGTGCCACCATGCGGATGAGGATCACCCGTGGAGAGGTCCCATAAATCCCATTTGAGCTGTTATAGCTATAGTTAGGGCCCTCGGCAATAGCCGGGGTGGGGCTTCAAATAACGAAAAATTGCATCCCACCAGGGGACGACATTATGAATATATCTAATCATATTCTGAACAATTGTATGTTTTTACTTGCAAAATTAAAGCAGACCACTTATTTATATCTATACTGCTAACAATTGAAGTAAACCATTTTATGGGTAGTTTTTGTAGTTGACGTTATTTACGTACAACAATCTGACTGACTGACTGACTTTCTACCCCACCAGGACATCACACCAGCAATAAACTCCCGATGACACAAAGTGGATGAGGATCACCATGGAGAGGTCCCAGAAACCGCGTTCAGACAATTGGCCACATCTATGACCTGCCTATATTGAAGCCCCTGGCAAAAGACAGGGTGGAGCTTCAAATAACAAAAACATTTTGTCCCTAAAAGGACGCAAGGATTATGCAACAGTCTTTACATTGTGGAGATGAACTAATGGAATGTACTAATGGAATGAACAAATCTCAAATTTAACACATTTGTTCAACTCTTTGAGACCCAAGGAACGCATCATATATTCATAGGTTACTGTCTAGAAGCCCAATGAACGCATGATGCGCAGATTTTACGTCTCTCTGACTACCCCTTGAGCCTGTGATGCTTACCCCTTGGGCGTGTGATGCTAAACCCTCTGGGACTCAAAGAGTTAATGTGATGACAAAAGCTCTGCTGACCTCCCTTTAAGTGACTCCTCTGAATGAAAAGAAACTGAGAACTTCTTGGAAAAAACTCCACATAAATGAGATTTGATTAAATACATTCACCAACTCTGACCTGCTAATTTGTCTCCAAGCTTCAACTCTCTGACTTTTGTGTCTCCATCTTGTCCAGTAACTTCTTTAATTGCTTTCACTGGAACTAATTCCCTCTCGACTGCATGATCCTCCATGTCCTTAGCTAACCACCTCTTGCAAGGAAACGTGTAGGTGATAGAGCCCTGGTGGGAAGATAGAAGCACAATCTAAATAGCTCTAGTGGGAAGATAGAAGTACAATATAAATAGCTCTAGTGGGAAGATAGAAGTACAATATAAATAGCTCTAGTGGGAAGATAGAAGCACAATCTAAATAACTCTAGCGGGAAGATAAAAACAAAATCTAAATAGCCTAGAAGCACAATCCAAATAACCAAAAGGGAAGATCAAAGCATCATTTAAATACAAATGCATTGAAAAACAAAGATGCATAATTCAAATGATCACAGTCAAAGATAAATGTGTATTGGTAGCCATTTACAACTACAACTTTCTGTCTTGTGTACTGTCAATCCCACATATTGAGATATGGCCTATGTTTCTTTATATCCACATCTTCAGGGTCTCTGACTTCTCAATGCTTGTTAACTGTTCAGCTTTCTGCCTGCGGTTGTGTTGAACAAACATCACATTTGATCACTGTGTAGCTTTCCGCTCCATGTTGTTGGTCTGAGCAAACATAACACTTGACATTTTTATTTTTAAGGCACTGTTTATCTATCTAGATAATTTTCTCCATTCTGGTGGTCTACAGAACAAATGTGAGGGCCCTAAATC